GTGGGCGTGGTACCAGAAGGAGTGGACCGATATTGCTCATAACAGAGCTCGATCTAAGTTTTATTAATAATATTACGATGTACCAAGTTTGGACCAAATCGGATACTCCCTTCGAGAGTTATCGTGTCCTGAAACGGATTTGGTCCAAAGAGTCCTAGGGTATAAAACCGTTATTTCGATGAGGCACTTTTTGGGCATATCAAATGATATATGCCCTCTCTAGTCATATCGCTGAGGGTATAAAAACTAGCAAGTGTCCGCTACTTCCTACACCCAATTCCAATTTTAGTAGCTTTTAGTTCTTGGGGTACATTTAAAGTACGCATTTTCAAAACATTCTACATAGCTTAACCTCAGATACCATATTCCAAAACCACCTCCATATCTTAACCACAGACACCAACAGCGATATCTATATAAGATTTCAGGATTTAATCTCTATTCTTCCATCCAAATATCCATCACCATACCAAATTTAGCACTTTTCGTACAACTGTAGTTCTCATTTTCAAAACCACCTTCATATCTCAATTCCCCATACCACAGAGACTTCAATATTAAATTTGAGGATTTCAGCTCTATCCCTTAATAATTAATTCTTTTCGTGCAATTATAGTACGCATTTCCAAACCACCGCCAAATCTCAAAAACAGATACGATCAGTAACCTAAATATCAAATTTCAAAATTTTAGGTCTATCTTCTCATCCAATACCAAATATAATACGATTTAGTACTTCTTGTACAGTTATAGTACACATTTTCGAAATCACCTCCATATCGCCAGGCTACACATGGACAGCGAATTTCAAATTTAAAGCACTATTTGTTTACCCAATACCAATTAAGTACGTTTCTTCCACTTGTAGTACAGTTCACACACTTAATATTTAATTTCCCGACTTGATTCCCATACCAAATTTCAAGTTATTAGCTCTATCCGTTTAGACAATACTAAATGGTACCATTTTAGAAATGTAGAACCTAAAAGTTCGAATTTCCAAGATCCCTTTGGTACATCTATCCTCGACTCCATCAGCGACTTTCACTTCAAATTTCAGAATTCTACCTCATTTCATTTGTTTAATAAAAAGTATTGAAATTTTAATAATTTTACACAAAGACCCTCGTGCCAAATTTCAAGATTTAGCTTCAGCCGTTTTGTCGGGCGTGGATTTTTGGTCAGTCAGTTATTTGACAACTCTTTTATATATATGTGTCGCTCTTTATGACAAATTTTGCCAGTTAAATCTTGGCGTCTTCAAGGGTATCAATGAAGTATAAAATTATGTTACCGAAATAATATTAGCATTGGCCTTTCACATCATGGCACGATATTTTAATGCAGGTTTGCATTCCCTCTCCCTGATTAGATAATCCAAATAACAAAAAAAAAAAAAAAAAAAAAAAACAAAGAAAACATCATTCATTGTTCTATTGTTTTCATGCATTAATAAAAAAAAAAAACACAAGAAACACCCACAAACTCCTTCCTTACACTTGTCCGAATGCAAAACATATTCCCGAAAATGGGCCAACCACTTGAAATCAATTCCCGCAATCTGACAATTCAATTGAATATTTGTGCGCAGCCTCAACTTTCTGATTGATATGGGGCAATAAGTCAATGCAAACGCAGAGAAATAAATTAAACAAGAACAGCAACAACAACAACAATTCGAACACAATAATAAGCAATTATAACATGACATGAAAAAAAGTACTCATGTTGGACCACAAACTCATTCATTATTGAATCGGGTAAATACAATTATCGCTTTAGTATTTTGCGGGCGGAACAAAAAGAGAAAAAGAAATGACAAGTCATGGAGGGCACACGCATGCGATGTAAGTACAAACATCAAGCACAGTATTCCTCAAGGGATTTTTGGTGGAAATTTAGTAAAAAATTACTTAAATTAGCTATAGTCCGATAGAGTCGAGTGTAGAGTGTCATTTTAAACTTCTTTACGGAAAAATATATGTTTTGGAGCAAAATATAGATTTGACAAAGAAGGACATCAAATAAAAACAAGTAAAACCAGTAAGGAAAAGTCAAAAGTGACGACTATACGATACCCTACACCACTGTACACATTTAGTAGAGCTCCCGTAAAAAAAATTATTTGAAGTAGATCATACCTCCTATCGACATTTGGCTTTAGAGCAATTATAATTTGGTTTCAGAGGGAACTTATATATGGGAGGCACATTAAATTCCGAATCGATTTTCACTAAATTTGACTGAGACATTTTTATCTTTAATACCAAATAATATTGACATAGATTGCGTCATATCACTTCGAGAAGGATTTTATTAAACAAAATATATCGGAGCCGAGTTCCACAAAATGGAAACGTGCGTCTCAAAATTCATTCCATTTTGGCTGATATTAGCCATTATGGGAGCTATATCCAAATCTTAGCCGATCTCGATAAAATTTGGACAGGGTATTTCCGCGCTCTATTAGATATCTGGTACCAACTATCATTTTTAATTTTTTTTTTTTTTAAATTTTATTGAATGAAAGCAAAAAATGTCGGAAATAGCATCAAATTTTAGAATAAGTTTAGATTTGTTCGAATTGGTCACCTTTGGCATGAATCATGGCCTTCAAACGGCCAATGAAACCGTCACACGCTTCCCGAATGTTGCTCTGCAGTATTTCAGCCCATTCTCGGCGAAGCGCTTGCTTGAGGTGATCGAAACTTTGGTATTTTTAGCGACAACCTTGCTTTCCAAAATACTCCAGACACAATAGTCCAACGGATTGGTATCCGGAGATTTTGGTGGAAATTGTGCGCTGGAAATGAAGCGAGGAACCTCATTTTGTAACCATTCTTGGGTTGCGCGTGCTGAGTGCGATGGTGCTGAGTGCTGTTGGAATGTCCAAGGTCTGCGGCCAAAATGTTTGCGTGCCCAAGGCTCCACCATACTATGGAGGGTATATTAATTTTGTCATTCCGTTTGTAACTCCTCGAAATACTAATGTTAGACCCAACAATGTATATATATTCTTGATCAGCGTAAAATTCTAAGACGATTTAGCCATGTCCGTCTGTCTGTCTGTGTGTCTGCCTGTCCGTCTGTCTGTTGTAATCACGCTATCTTTAGAACAAATTGAGATAGAAGGCTAAATTTTTGCAGACATGTTTATTTTGCCAGTAGGCAGGTTCGTAAATGAGCCATGTAGGTCCAAGTTATCATATAGCCCCCATATAACGGTACCTCCCTATATTCGGCATTTTGATGATTTTAGCGACATTATTTACCGGAATAGTTTCAAATTTGGTATTTGAAGTTCGTAATGGATACTACATCCTAAGTCAAAAAATTAACCGTGTAGGTCCACGTCTTCATATAGCCCTCATATAACGGTACCCCCCGATATTCGGTATTTTGATGATTTTAGCGACATTATTTACCGGAATTGTTTCAAATTTGGCATTTGAAGTTCGTAATAGATACTACAGCCTAAGACAGAAAATTATCTGTGCAGGTCGACGTCTTCGTATAGCCTCCATATAACGGTACCCCCCGATATTCGGTATTTTGATGATTTTAGCGACATTATTTACCGGAATCGTTTCAAATTTGGTATTTGAAGTTCCCAATAGATACTGCAGCATTAAAGAGAAAATGGGCCATGTAGGTCCACGTCTTCGTATAGCCTCCATATACCGTACCCCCCGATATTTGGTATTTTGATGATTTTAGCGACATTTTTTACCGGGATTGTTTCAAATTTCGCGTGTGAAGTTCGTAATGGATACTTCAGCCCATGTCAGAAAATTGTCTGTGCAGGTCCACGTCGTCGTATAGGCATTCGGTATTTTTATTATTTTAACAGAATTTTTAACGGATTTTATTTTTTACTTACAGCTTTTTTACTTGTTAAAATTTCAATGGCTTCGCCCCGAGCTTATTTTTCACATTTAAATGCTGGAGTGCTCTAACGATAGCCACTTGTGGTTTTCCAGCCAAATATAAAGAAATCACACTATCACGCTTGAATTCCATCACGAATACCTTTTTTCCTGGAAAATTCTCACCAAAATGCTTTTGTACGCTTGTAAACAATATAATGAGGTGTTACTGGATTATTTTTAACAGCAGTCGGACGAGTGGCTTAGAAATGACATCAGTCTGAAGTTGGTTGCAGTCTTTTCATTTCACTCTTTAGAGTGAATTCGGTCGAATATGCCGAAATTTAGCCCATTTAAGTCGATTTTAGACATTTGGTGCACAATTAACCCGAAATTGGTTGAGGATATATAATGGGAGCTATATCAAAATCTGAACCGATCTTGGTAAAATTTAGCAAAGGTATTTCTGGGATGTATATGATATCTGGTTCTAAATATCTATCTTGTGGGGTGCATTTTACGAATGTGACCAAATCGGATAAAACATATATATGGCAGCTATAGCTATATCTGAACCGATTTCCTAATTTAATCCAAATTTTACTTACTTGCTTCTAGACTGAATTCGGTCGGATGTGCCAAAAGTCAGGTCATTTGTACTGATATTGGCCATGAGAGATATATGTAAATTTGAAGTGATTCTCACCAATTTCAATTGGTTTGGAAAATTATATTTCAATCGGATAATAAATGCGACCTGCATTTTATTCACAAAAATACATGGACAGATGGACGGACGAACAGACGGACTGACATGCATTAATCGACTCAGAACTATGGGTCTATATCGCTTCCTTCTCCATGTCATTGTAACAAATAGGGATAGAAATATTTTGTTAATGTTTCACTCTATCGATCTGGTCACAAAAATTCTTTTAAGCCCCATGCAAAATTATTTTAATAATTAAATTTTATATTATTTATATTATTTCACCCCACCGTACCTACTTCTGTTCGCCACAACCAGATGTGTTCTTCATTTGTTTACTGAATGAAGCATCGACAAATACTTTCAACAAATACCTTCACGGATTCACTCATACATTTTGCCTCCGAACACTGTGAAAAGTTGTCATTACTGCCAATAACAAAAATGTTTCTACCGCCAGCAACATACCGCTAAGTACTCAACGCATTATCAAGCAAAGAAATTTGTGTGTGCAATTAGAGAGGGATACAGAGCACCGGAACAAACAACCTTAGATGAGACAAATCCAATGACTTGAACTGTGGTCGGGCTATTGTTAGTATTTTTGGCGCTATGTGAACGAGCGAAAAAAAAACATTGATCGAAAACCGTGATATTTGTAACATTGAAATAGATTTAAGGTGGATTTGCGGCAAGTCAATTATGATTTCTTAGATATTCGAAACAATTTGTTATTTTTTGGGGATTTGTATAAAACTTGGCGATCGTCAGGGTTACAGCATCAGTTTCACAACAGCAATTCGAACAACAACATCTAAACAAATTAATTTCCAAATCCTGAGAAAAATCATGGCTTTCAAATTTGTCATCTTATCTGCTCTCTTGGCTGTGGCCAGCGCCGGTTTTATTGCTTCCAATCCAACCCATTATACCGTTGCTAATCCTTCGGAGGATGCTGTGGCTCAAACCCATGAAAGTGTAGTGCGTTCATACGATGGTACCGTATCACAGTATTCCAAATCGGTACATACCCCCTACTCCAGTGTTCACAAGCAGGATACCCGCGTAAACAATAATGTCTACACCCCCAAAACTGTTACCTATGCTGCTCCAGCTGTTGCCAAGACCGTTACTTATGCCGCACCCACTGTAACCAAAACTGTCTATCACAGTCCTGAGATTCATGAACAACAAAATGACCATGTTTATGCTGCTCCTGTTCCCACAGCTGCTGTTTACACCCATTCTGCCCCTACTGCTGCTGTTTATACACATGCTACACCTGCTGTGGCCACTTATACCCATAATGCTCCAGCTGCTCATACCGTATACACTCATTCGGAACCTGCTCCCACCGCTGCTGTCTATCAACATCATGAGGTTCCATCAACCGCTGCCACCACCACTTATAATCATGGCCCTGCTACTCACACCACAACCTACAATCATGGACCAGCTGCCACAACTTATAGCCACAATGGTCAAGGTGTCTCCGCCTATGGTTCCAGCCAAACTGTTCACTACTCACCTGCCCATATGGTTTCCCATATGAGTTTTGATGGTTTCGGTACCCATTGGGGATATTAAGTGACGAAATTGTGGCCGGATATATTCTGTCATAATCATGTTGTTGTTTTCATTCGATATTGTTGTCAAATCATTATTTTCATATTCCATTTAACTGCATTTTGCATTTTTTCATCAAAAATATTTGTTATAGAATTAGTTGCAAATAAATAAAATCAGTATTGTATTCAGCATATTTTGTGATTTTTTATTTAAATGCTTGTCAGCCCGCACGTTATCATTTAATAACTGTTATGCTATTATACTGATGATATAGATACGACAAAACCTTTTTCATTTAAAATAATGGTTTTAGATACCAAGGCCCAGGATTTGGACTAGTCTATAGTTATTATCAGATAAAGTTTTACAAAAGAGGGTCGAAACTTTGCTATTTGATACGGAAAAATATGTCTGATCGAAATATCTGTTCTAGTCCCTGGACCTCTTTTTACGAAGTAAAATAATTTACTTTTAAACAAGTAAAAAAACACGTGGGGGCTATACCAAATCGTGGACCTACACATGTAATTCGCCAAAGGAGCTAGAACCCATTATGACCTACAAATACCAATTTTCAGTCAAATCCGTGAAAAAATGTGGCAAAAATCATCAAATTACCGAATATCGGGAGGTACCGTTATATGGGGGCTATACCAAAACGTGGACCTATAATTACAATGACTCGCCACACGAACTGGGACCCATTATGATCTACAATTAATTTTCCGAGAAATTCTCGAAAAAAAATGTGTCAAAAATCATCAAAATACCGAATATTGGGAGGTACCGTTATAAGGGGACTATATCAAAACGTGGACCCATACATGCAATGTTTCGCCACCGGAGCTGGAACCCATTATGACCAAAAAATACCAATTTTTAGACAAATCAGTGAAAAAATTTGGCAAAAAAAAATTAAAATACCGAATATCGGGAGGTACCTTTATATGGGGGCTATACCAAAACGTTGACCTATAAATGCAATGTTTTGCCCACCTACAGGGACCCGTTATGACCTACAAATACCAATTATTAGACAAATCCGTGAAAAAATATGGCATAAATCATCAAAATACCGAATATCGGGAGGTACCCTTATATGGGGACTATACCAGAACGTGGACCGATATATCTCATTTTCAATACCAACCATCCAAGACGCAATACAATTTGCTCTGCTAAATGTTGGCGCTCTACGTCAAATAATGTGGGCTGTATTGTGATTTCAACAGACAGACAGACAGACGGACATCGTTAAATCGACTTAGGATGTTACAAACGGAATGACAAAGTTAATATACCCTCCTTTCCAAGTTGGAGGGTATACAAATAAGTAAAAAAGTTGTAAGTTGAAGTTCGACGAAAAATAAATTCCGTTTCAAAAAAATAAAATCCGTTAAAAATTCTGTTAAAATCTTCAAAATACCTAATGTAGCCGTCATATTAGGGTCTAAACGAGGATGTGGACCTGCATAGGCAACTTTAGTCAAACTTAAAAAAAAAAAAAACATCGGTGAGTAATGTAGCTAAAATCATCAATATAGGGAGGTACAATAATATGGGGCTATACAAAAATGTGGACCTGCACAGACAATTTTCTGCCTTAAGCTGTAGTATCCATTACGAACTTCAAATACCAAATTTGAAACAATTCCGGTGAATAATGTCGCTAAATCAAAATACCGAATATGGGGAAGAACCGTTATATGAGGGCTATACGAAGATGTGAACCTGCACATACAATTTTCTGTCTTGGGCTGTATTATCCATTACGAACTTCAAATACCAGATCGTAAAATCATCAAAATACCGAATTTTGGGAGGTACCGTTATATTTGGGGCTATACCTACATATACATGGTCCATTTTCAATACCAAAAGTCCTGCGGACAAAATATAAATTTTTGAGTAAAGTTTAATCAATCTACTTCATTTCGTTCGGAAGCTAGAGAGATTTCCACAGACGGATGGACGGATAGACGGACGGACATCGCTAGATCGACATAGAATATTATGCTGAAAATATATAGTTTGTGGGGTATAAAATGTATTTTTCAAGGTGTTACAAACCGAATGACAAACATAATATACCCTCCATTCTATGGTGGAGGGTATAAAAATGAGGGTATCCGATTTGATTTCAACTTTAGAATCTGAATATTTAAATTAGCCTTAAGTCAGATGAGAAAACTAAGTGAATCAGTTAAATTCTTTTCTAAAATTCAATTTTGCAACATATATTCAGTACCCTATATGGTTCGTAAAGCTTTAATATAACTCAGATCTGGTGCGAAAATGGCCAATATTGGCTCACTCATTCCTGTATATTTCACCGTTAAACCAACTGCGTTTACGTCACATGAAATCCACGGGATTACGGGTTTGACGTATGCGCAATGGAATTGACATTTGAAATTCAGCGCATTGTGTATTCTTAAAGGAATCTCTATCAGAGAAGGAGAGAGAAACATAACACTGTGCAAAAAAAATTAAATTTTATCAAAAATTGCAGGGAAAGTGCAGAAAATTATATGGGCTAAAAGTAGAAGAAAACAAGTTAAAAAGTATCAGTAGGTTTTGCCGGCATATGTATACCCTCAGCCAATGTTCGATTATTTAAATATGTTTTGACATCTTTTCTACCTTGAAATGCTTGACCCTCTATGGAGTAGGTTCCCATGAAATAGGCCAACATTGCCCATATCGTGTTGAACCTAAATAAATATGATATAAATATTGCGGCGTGCCATATTTGGAATATACAGGGTGAGATAAAAAAAACTGCAACCAACTTCAGACTGCTGTCATCTCTAGGCCACTCGTCCGACAGCTGTTAAAATTATTCCGGTGACCACTCATTATATTGTTTACAAGCGTACAAAAGCATTTTGGTGAGAATTTTCCGGAAAAAAAGTTATTCGTGATGGAATTCAAGCGTGAAAGTGTAATTTCTTTATATTTTGCTGGAAAACCACAAGTGGCTATCGTTAGAGCACTCCAGCATTTAAATGTGAAAAAATCTTTAGTGTCTCGTAACATCGCTCGTTACCGTGATACTGGAAGCATAGCCCGACTTCAAGGAAGTGGACGGAAGAAAAGAGCAACATCAGCAGTAATGGTTCGAAAAGTAAAGTAGCGACTTGATCGAAACCCGTGTCGCAGTGGCCGAAAAATGGCTCGTGAGCTGAACATATCGCAATATTCTATTCGCAAATATTGAAAAAAGCCATTGAAATTCCAAAAAGTGCAAGAACTTACATCGCAACAGAAAGAATATAGAGTCAAAAGAGCTAAAGAGTTGCTTCGCTTTGCGGAAAGTAGTGAAATGCCGAATTTAGTTTTGTTCGATGAGAAAACATTCGTTGTCCAGCAGTTTGTAAACAAACAAAATGATCGTGTTTACTTCCAAAGAGTTCAGCTGGAAATGTGCACCTTCCCTGTGCACCTTCCACCACCACCTGGTAATGGTGTGGGCCGCCATAACAGCCGATGGTCGCTCTCCGCTCAATTAATCGAACGTGGCATCAGAATAAATGCCGAATACTATCGCGAAAATATTCTGGAGGGTGTATTAAAGCCTTGGACATGTAATCATTTTGCCCGCAGACCTTTTACATTCCAACAGGACTCTGCACAATCGCACTCAGCACGCGCCACCCAAGAATGGTTACAAAATGAGGTTTCTCGCTTCATTTCCAGCCTCTAAAATCTCCCGATACCAATCCGTTGGACTATTGTGTCTGGAGTATTTTAGAAAGCTAGGTTGGCATTAAAAGATACCAAAGTGTTGATCATCTCAAGCAAGCGCTTCGCCGGGACCATAATTCGTGCCAAAGCTGACCAATTCGAACAAATCTAAACTTATTCTAAAATTGCATGCTATTTCCGACATTTTTTGCTTTCATTCGATTAAATTAAAAAAATGTAAGAATTATGGCGTTTGACTTTGTTGTAGTTTTTTTACCTCACCTTGTATTGGTTACTTCCTTCACTATATTTGAGATATGTGATAATTTTTAAAAAATGTTATAATGTACGTGACGTACCAGATATAGTCGGCCGAAGTATATGGATAAAAATCTTAGTATGGGCAAAGTTACAAAAAAATCGAACGTTTATATCTAATTTTATACGAAATCATAAATTCCATATTCATCTCAGGTTTCTGGTCGAGAGAAATATTTACATACAGCAAGATTTTAAAGAACCACTGACTTGTTTCGCAAGTTATGATAGATATAAGTTTTGAAAATTGTGACCCTTTGAGGGTGAGGTATCAGTAAGGGTTCGCAGATATATACCATTTTCACAACAGATCTTTTGTTAGCCAAAATGTTTGTATGTGTGACATTTAGAGAGAGTTGAATGCTTATTTCGCGTTTGGTTTTTCAAAATCTTGAACCCTACGTGGGGGAGGTATCAGAAAAAAGGAGTGGACCGATATATCCTATCTTCGCAGCCGATCTTGTGTTAGTAGAAATGAGATGTGTGAAATATGAAGAGAACCGGATGCTTATTTTGGACTTTATGATCATTTTGGTTCACAACTTTGGTCCTTTATGGGGGAGGTATCAAGGGAATGGTCGAATCTCTACCACCATTATAACATATATTGTTCTTATTGAAGTATTGAGATATGCCAAGCCTGAATTGAATCGGATATTAATTTCGCATTTTATGAGATTCATGGATATTCAAAATGTTGACCATTTTTGGGGGTGTAAGACCGATATGTTCCATCTTAACACAAGACCTTGGGTTAAATAAATATTGGGATGTGTGAAATTTGAAGACAATCGGGCTCTTACATCACATTATATAAGAGTTGTAATTATTCAAAATTTTGACCGTTTCTGGGGGAGTTACTTGATAGAGTGGACCGATGTTGTCAATTTTCACACCTGACCTAGCACTGATGTAAAAATTAGGATTTGCAAAAGATGGAGCAAAATCGGATTATTGTTTCTATTTCTGTTCAGAAAATATATTTTTTGAAAATTTCGACCTTTTGTGGGGGAGGTGCCAGAAGTGTGCACCATCCAGCCAGACAAACAGACGGACACGTTTTGA